CATCAAAATGTCCTTTTCTTAGTAGAGTTCATATTTAACAATACAAATAAACCCTCCTGTGATTTTAAATACTTTTTTAATTCATGTTTTCACTCAACAATCCAAAATACAGGGCTCCTAAAAAACAGTTGTCACTTTAATACAAGAAACATGATACATTAGTGTGGATCATGGTCAAATGTATTTAGAGTTAGTTTGACTCAATGATCTCTCAGCTTTTATAAACACTCATACACATATCGCTCTGTAACCCACTGTGTCTTTATCTCTGTTTGTAAGTTTTGAAAAGGCACTGCGGTGAAGGCACTGTAGCACAGTTCAGACATGTCGGATTTTGTTGGTGTCGGCTGAAATAGAGAATGAAATGTACTGATCACTATTTAAAAGTCAGCACGTACAATTTTTTGGCATGATTAGAAAATCTGCATTTTAAGTCCACTAATGGCCGATGCTGGGTACTTTTATCATCCTTTAAAAGATCTTTAAAAGAAAAGGGAATCCACACGTACGTACTTAAAGAATGCTATAGATCGACTTTTGAAGAAAAGTAAGACGACTCCCAACTTCATCGGAATCTCGTCTTTCAATATCTTGATCTCTGTAAAAGCACTATTACTTTGCAAACAAGCAAATGCACACACTGAAGATATTCTTCTGTCACTCCACATAAAGTCTAGCTACTTGTAATGCAGTAACAGGGCTGATTGTGCTGCTGCCTGCTCATTATGAGGGTTTCTCCCACGTCTCTGTGAACAGAGTTATCAAATGGTTTAACTGGCAAGAAGATGCAGCCTCAGCTCCACTTGTGTCAAATACCAACAGATTTCATATGAGACTAGTTCCTTTGATTCTTTACAACATTATATCCCAGTTCAGTCACAGTATCTCCTCTGCCACGAATGGCTTCATTGAGACAAAGGGAGCGGACGTATTTACACATGCTATTACAATGTGAGAATTCAGTCCAGTGTTAGAAAATCACACTTGGCAAGTCATTTGAAAAACCAGGGAGAGAAAACCTTGCAAGGGTAAATGTTCCTACTAGAGCCCGATATGAGCGTTCCACAGACACATCGATATCGCAGTTTTTACTTTTCTGATATGCACCAAGATGAAATGAAAACTTCTATTTTAAATAAATAAAACAATGCATAAAAAATGTATATTTATGTTTTTATCTTACATAATGCATTTACGTTTATTTGCTTAATTCAACTTGTATATCTTTGGTTGTATTGGTGTTTTCTTTTTCTTTAGTTATAGTTATAAGTTTTTGGTCAGACTGTAAAATATCAAACCTCATTTAAATTTCTTTGTCATAAGGGTTTGATAACAACACATTTGGAATCATTGCCAACTTTTTAAATATATATTGGCCAATATATCGGTATCAAATGTCTTTTACTCTCTTATATCAATATCGACAGTGGCCCCCAAAAATAAAAAATCGAACAGGCTCTATCCCCACCTTTCAAAATACTACTCTTCTAAATTATTATAAAAAGTTAAAGATAAATGGGAAACTTGGTTTTCGGCGAATGTTAAATGTAATGTCACATTTCAAACAAGTTTACATTTTAATACAAATTATCACACAATCTTTTTCTAGATGGATTAAATATAATAGAGGGAAATAGACTTCACCTTCTAGCTGGGAGCTAAATGACAATATTGATGCAACTCTTTTATTTGTACCAAAAATCAGTGTTCACGTCATATTATCAATATTCAAGTTGAAAATAGTAAAGCTGAATATTCAACATTCAAACCTCTCATTTCTTTATGGTTGGATAAAGGTAAAGTAAAAAAAAAACCTAAAAAAAATATTGTTAGCTAACTGCTTCCTGGATAGTGTGTGAAGAAGAATAGCAAATGTTTGTGTCTTTCATTTAATCTGTTCAGAAACAAGTTGTTGTCTTGCTAGAGAATTTTTGAATCTGTTAAAAGTACTAACATCTGAATGGTTGGTGAAATGTAGCTTGATTTTCAGAGTTCTCCCTCTAAAAGGCCAATTTTCTGACTCTCCAACATCTCTAACAAGTAAACCCTGAACTGCACCTTATTCCACCGATATGAAGTATTTTGAGGGCTTGTTCTTTGGCAGTGAAACACAAAAAGAAACCTGTCGTCACAAGGAATGTTGTCAGTTAGGGTTTGAAAAAGACAAATATTTGTAAACTCCCACCCTGAATAAAAATCGTAATAAAGTCCCAGGACCTTCCCCCAATCAATCACTGAGGAACTTTCTGGAGTTGTTGTTATGAGTCCCGTTCTGTCCCGCGTAGCTCTTACTCCGAGGGAAGAAATCAGCACGGATCAGGCGGTAGAAATAAATCAGGATCATAATATTCATCACCATCATGCTGGCGAGAAAGTATCCACCGCGGTCCATCCAGGAGTAATTGTGCAAGATGTACCTGGTGAGGTACATTTGGGTGCCCAGGCGGAACACGATGTAGGTGAAGAGGTTGACGAATTTGTTGATGTGGTACATGGAGGTGGACTGAGCGCTGGACAGTTTCAGCATCAGCCTCAGGTGAAGCGTGACACTGTTCACCTCCACGAAGAGAGCAATGACGGCGCCGGCTACATACAGCTGAGTGTAGAGGGCGTACAGGAAACACCAGATCACCTGAGGAGGAGGGGACGCACACAGAGAGAGGTGGAGGTGTTCATACAGGGAAGAATTCATAAGATTTCAGTTTGGTGAAAGCGGCAGATCCAGGGTGTTTTTCATAATGCTCTCTAGTTGTTTTTCTTCTTTCCTGTACCTTGAAAAGCAATTTGTAATTTTGAAAAGTGCTACACAGTTTTAGGTGAATCAGTATTATCATATTATTTCAGTATCTGTACCGAGATTACAAATCCAACATATTCAAATACCTATACATAAATACTTCTGTTGAACAATTCAAAACTCTAAATTATTATGAGTGAAGACACGAGGTCTCATTGTTGTTAAGCTAATACTTACAAATGTTTTTGGAGAGTTACGAAACTGTTTCTCAGTGTGACACAGACACTGTCACAAAAAAGTACAAACTCAGAGATGCATCATTTTTCAAAGATACTGATGTTAGGCTGAGTTTGTGGTTTAAAGTATTTCACTTGAAATATATGAAATCTACTTACACAACACATCAGACCCAGTGGAAAAACAAGATTTCTAATATTTGGGATGTTTTAGGGATTCAACCCTCAAAAAAAATATGTAAATGTGGGGTTTCTGTAGGTTTCACTGAGTTAAATGAAAGATTTTAAAGACGTCTGTTAGACAATTCTGAATGAAATTTAAGACCTAAGTCAGGTGTGATTGGTATGTAGGTTCCACGGAAATCCAGAAATAGGAAAACACAAGTCTGCCTGTTTGTCTCGTGCTGCAGTGACCCTGTGCTCGGTGTCATCTTCTACACTTACTGCATTCAGCTCAACTCAGGCGGCACAAACAGCCTGTGTCGTTTCTTTGATATACTCCTTCACTGGACTTGTTGTTCGGTGGCTACTCCATTAACGATCAAACATTATTCAATTGAAATCAACATGTACAACAAATCAATACTCCTTTATGTACAACGACACCATTTTTACTTTCTCTTTTTCCTTTTGTGAAACCTGTTCAGTTGTCATTGCTTTCCTTTTGTTGGCCTAAACAGTGACTGTGACACTGAACCAGAAATGCAACCTTGATGGAGTTTAAGGGGGAAAAAATGCATACCAGCGCATGATGGAGTAAGAATTCCCATGATCCTCTTCCATGTCCCGTCAAGATGATATCACCAGCGTCTTGCACAAAGTATCCTGAGGGGAAATGAAATGACTCATTAGCTGGTGACAGACTGGTGGAGAGATGACAAACATTCACTGTGTGTGTTCTTCTTGGTTTGATTTTTCCTTGATAGCATGTCAGCTAAAGGATTTAAGAAATATCCGCGGTTATTTCACTGTGAAGGCCTCATTTACAGCAGGAATTCAAGAGGGGTTTTTGTGCCGCGGTGTCACTGCCTATGACGAGACACACCACTGTGTTAGAGAACATCTACATGAGTGTTGGCCATGGTCGGCCTCGGTGGAGCTCAGAGATGTTTGGTTGTTAGAGCAGATCTCCCAAGGTTTGCGTCTCTCCATGGCAACACAATGATGCACAGAAGATGGAACACCTCGATCACAACACAGAGGTGATTATTGCTGGTATCCAAGGTGACTGAGAGGGAAACACCTTCCCCCCCGACAAACTTAAGAGCAACTTCAGCAACAGACTCATCCGACCGCCCTGTTCACAGGAACGACACAGGAAGTCTTTCCTGCCTGGTGCTATCAGGATAAACAATCCATCTGCCTCTGCCAGATCTGTGGTGACTGAAGTGGACCCAACACAATCACAATCATTATTGCTATGCTATCACTGCGCATTATTATGAATATCCAGCATGTACACTGTTGTTATCTTTATTAAGATTATTATTAGCAGTAGCATCATTTCATCATCTATAGACTCTATCTATCTCATTTACTGCATTTACTGACCTGTTGAGACGCAGACGAGCAGGTAGGACAGCGGCGTGTGGTAGGAGTGGAGGTCCCTCAGCGTCTCTGGCCACATGAACACACTGGAGAGGGACACATGTTATGAATAGATGGGTCTGTATTGGCCTCACTCAGACATACATGGGCTCACCTCTGGAGATAAAAGCCTGACTAAGCAGAGACATTAATTTCAGGTGTTATGGCTTTTTTATCCCCTGACCAATAATTGACCTGTCTTTTATTAGTTGTAATTGTACTTTAGTGTGTTTAATTGTTCCTTTTAAATGCAACTTGTTTTCTATTCACCAATGTTTCGACTATTTTTCCATCCTTTGTCTCAGTGTTTTTGCATTTAGCTTTGTCAGTTTTCATTGCTGTGTGACAAAAAGTTGGCACTCATTCTCTACGTCTCCTCCTTGTATAAACACCATAACAATGGATTGTTAATAAATGACCTATATTTATCCCTTATGTTACATGTAAAGCAGTGAACCCTTTCATGTTTGCTTGGAAAAATATCAAGCACAGACAACCTCCTTCAGAATATAAAAACGTGCTAATTTAACTGTTGTCACATTTTAAATGCAGAGATAATTATGGAGGAGAGCTAACAGTTGTCAAAATGACATTAGTCCCACTTTTTTATATTAACAGATGAGTCACATGCAAGGTCCCCACCCTGAAAAATTGTTTCTCATAATGCGTTTACAAGATTTCTTCAGCTAACAGGTTTTTCCAGTTGGAGTGTCTGCAGGCTGACGCTTGAGTAATCCAAACTTCTCTCAGTGTGAAGTTAAAAACATGTGCCTCCTCTGAGGGATTCAAGAGTGCAAACAGCAACAGCAGCCTCTGAGTGGCTCCTACATTTCAGTGACATTTCTCCCCCCACTTAAAAAATGCCATTGTCTCCCCCTGTCCCTGACCCTGTCTGAACATGCCTTCTTCCCCTGGGTGCCACAGCCTGATACAGCTACACACACACACACCCTACACATTAGCACACAGCATTTGGACTGTGAATAGACAATGGTGTCCCAGTGTGGATGGATGGGGACTTACCATGTCAGGGCCCATGTTCCGGTCAGCAGGGAGTGCACCATAGAGACAGAGAGGTTCCTCCACTTCCAGAAGCGGAAGTCATCCTGCCTCACCACCTTGGGCACAGGCAGTCTTTGCAGGAGTTGGTGGACCACCCTGAAAATCAGTGAGCTCACCAGCACTGAGGAGCCTGGGTGACTCTTCAGCACAGGAAGCAGGGCCTCCATCCTCCCCCCTCACACCCTCTCTCTCCGGGTGCTTGTTGCTTCTTTTCGTCCACTCCCTCTGTTGGCTTTTTCACGCTCCTGTCACCGTCTCCTAAGATAAACTCTGTCTAAGATGATGTGTTTTCCAGGACAGGGTCTTCAGAGAGAGGAGAAGCTACAGCAGCTGCAGGAGGATGACCCTGTGTTTTTGTTTAAAACGTTGTCTGAGGTTCTTTCCGAAGAGTTGTTGTTTTAGACCTGCCCTTTTTTCTCCTCACGTGTTCAGCCTGAAGAGGGAGGCTCGGAGGAGATTCCTGAGACAGCTCATTCCAATGCGACGCTGTTTTTCTCGCCTGTAACGTTACGTGGATGCGCGCTGTGTCCGCCTGTCTAAGTCGAATGAAGGAAGGAGTTGTGGAGAGGGAGTGGGGTGGGTGGTGCCGCTGCTGCTGCTCCTTGGAGCCACAACAAAACAAGGAGGGGCAGAGATTGCGATTACGCAAGGACAAAAAAATCACAAAGCACGACTGCTGAAACCTGATTTGTGGGTAAACATGTCGAAAACCACCTGTAGACAAATAGTCTCTTCAATGTTTTTGACATCAGCGCCATGCGCCAGAAGCGCCTGTTGCGCACTGTGCGTAAAAGCACCTTTTCTGGATTAAATGTATACGTAGGCTAAGAACGATAAAAAAAAATACATATTTTGGAATTTAATAATCTTATCAATCAAGATGTGCTTCGTGTCTTTGGTCGTTTAAAAGATTCATAACTTTAACCCAAAAAACAAACAAAAAAACAATTCTAATACTTTAACTTTTATCTTTCCATTTTAATCCTTGTGAACTGAGGCTATGTTTAATGCTGCCATTCTGCTGTGTGGATATACACACTCATATGAATATATATATATATATATATATATATATATATATATATATATATATATATATATATATTTCAGTCATTTTAGTCGACGTTTTATTTAAGTTCCACACATGTCTCATAATGTGATGCCCCTCAGTTCCCAGGGGTTGTGTTTCACAGGGGCAGATGCTGTTCAATTCTGTTCCAATTATATTATAAATAAACCAGTTTCAATTGCATTTAGAATTTAACTATCTCATCTCATGTAGTGCACAGACACGTGATTGGTAATCATCAAGTTTAATCTTAAACATTTTATCATGCGTTATCTTTTTTGTTAAATCATATCACCTTTATTAACTTGGGCTACTAGTTTGCAGTTAATCTTGTTGTTGTAAATAGAATTAACAAGATGATATGTATGGAGCATAAGGACCTAAATCTTAAGGCAGCCCGACAGCAACACCTTCCTTCCTCTGCCATAACTCTTTCCATGAACACAGCTCTCATTCCCTTCTGCTGGCCTCCCTGCAGCCTGCTGGGGAAAAAGGAAATGAGCCCCCAGAGCTAAGACCCTATATTACCTGCACGACACATGTCTGTGTGAAACCCCAGTACATGAAGAGTTTACTTGTGTTTAAGCCAGAAAATTACTTCAATTATTTTACTCATTATTATATAACATTTCTTAAATGCTATCTATATAAATTGTATTATATGTTATATGCACAAGCGCCCTTTTGTACACAAGGAGCCTTAATTGGATGTGGGGGTAGATAGGTTGGTCTCTGATCCTCTGGTGGATTTCGATCCCTGGATTCCCTGAACGCAGTTTACCTCACAAAGGGTGTCTGTCGGAAAAATAAATTTGTGCCAAATGGCAGTGGCTGAAAGACATTGTTAACATTGCTCTCTCACATGTAAGATCCCAACATTTTAACAAAAGTTATATATCAAAGACACGGTTCCATCATCATTTTTTATTTAACTTTTTTAAAACACAAAAGGGCCTTGAATCAAACCAGAGAAGCCACCACACTGAAAGTTGATCAGAGTTAATACCGGACATACAGGAGTTCAATAGTCCCATTGTTTACTATCAGGTCATCTAGTTTTTCTATACCTGCTTGAGGAGTGTGACATGGAATCTGAAGCACTTCAGGTGTAAGACAAACACAAGTTTAACATATGAGCAACAGGTGATGGAGGAAAAGATGACATATGACATTATTAACTTACATTATATGAAATTATTACTGAGCCACATACAACACAGTCCTGACTTCCACCCCCAGGAAGTTTCACTACAATTCACACCTCAGGAACCATGAGTCACAGGGGGCGGGTGGGTCAACGACTCTCAAAGACCGACCCCAACGAAACAAACAGCAATGTGGATCCCACCTCTCAGGCGACCTCAATGACCCTACAAGTTAAATACCTGGGACTCCCAGCAGTCATCTAGAACTGAAGAGGCCTCTTGGATGAGAGGTGAAACATCTTCAAGAAATTCCACCTCGTCCAGTGGACCTGTTTTTAAGCACTTGGATACATAATTACTCTGGAAAGTAGTTTCGCTGGAGAGTCAAAGAATGGTGGTCGGCAGGCAGACTCAGCTGACTTTCTGTTATTGGTTGAGAGGCAATTTTTTTATTTACAGTGACTGGGGTGAGCAGTCTTCAGCTGCAACATGCAACTTCACCACTAAATACTACACACAGAAACTTTAAATAGGATTCGCAATTTCCACATTCTTCCTGCAAACATGATCTTCCCACCTTATTTCCCAGTGTAAAAGCTCATGCATGATTACTAAATGATTATTTGACAGGAAGAAACAAAACAACCAAAACACTACTGGAAATCACAAAACAAACTCTAAAGAAAAGAAAAACCCCTCCACTTAGTTTATCCCAGTGATGTCATCCGTGACGTCACCAGGACCACACACACACACACACACACACACACACACACACACAAACAGGAAATGCCAGGCAACACCTTTTTTCAAACATTACCCAGCATGGTGGGCCTGAGCAGAGGAACACATGGTGAGTATAACAAAGCAACCAACACTTGAACAATGTTTTAGCCTGCAAGAAAAATAAAGAGGTAACTTAACTAACTGAGCAATGAGTGTTTACTTTAATCTACTTATTTACTTTGATGTACTGCGAAACACAAACAAACCCATGATTATATGTGATGTTACTAAAGTAATGTTAAATGATAGTAAAATGAATATGCGTAATGTATAATGTAAGAAAAGAGATGAGATAAGATAAAACTGTATTGATCCACACATGGGGACATTAAGTTGTTACATTAGCAGGCAGGTCAGAATGAGGTAGACAAGAGTATATGAATAAAAAAAGACATTTAAAAGGCAATAGAATAAAACCAAATGCTGAGTATGTTCTTTCTACACATCTTTTCACTATAGTAGTCTGTATGAAATGTTGAAGGGAAAGTGCAGTGGCACGGGATGATTGTAAAAGCAAGTAAAAAACTGTTGATACATAAGAAAATAATGAAATAAATAATTAACAGTGATGTGGAATGTGGTTGAAAGATGTTCTCACCCACTTTGTCAAATACTCCCTAAAGTCAATGGAGGCCTGTGTGATACCACTGAATGAACCAATATCATCACTGAGCTCTATGATCAGGAGTTCGCTCACATGTGATGGATGTGATGTCACTCACCTCGGCAGGTTCAACCTGCTTTCACTACTATTCTGAATTTACATGAACAACAACCCCCACAGTGCATATTCAGACTCATGCTAACTCTAGCATAGCCTTAGTGATTGACATGTGTCAGATCATCACATTATATACATGGGTTCTATTGTGAATGGATGAGGAGCGGTGTTTCTGGTTATTAGTTTATAACCTCCAGGTACCAGATCTGAGCACAGTTGGATCCTGAACCAAAATACACATTCAACAGACAATTTATAATAAAACTGCAGAGGTCGTGATGAGGCCTATTATTGTGACCTTACTGAATAATCAAAGATCAGTTAACCAAAAATCAAACCAGATAGGTTCATGATCAAGTAGTCGTCGTTGTGTGAAATACTGAACTTGTGTCAACATGCTGGCAGACATATGAATATGGGAATCATGTGTATACCAGGACAAACCCAGTGCCTGTTCTGGTGATTTGCATTTTAAAACCAGGTGAAGTTCCTCTGGACAGCTGAGGGCCGTACCCCTGCTCCTAGCATAATCCTGCAGCTCTGAGCCCAATACCTCATTTGTTCCAGCACTGATATTTGTATTCTCTAAGAGCTTGAAAGAAACTGAACAGAAAACAAGTCTGCCCCCTATCTGCGGGAGTACATCCGCAAACATGTATAATGCAACACCAGTAGATGGCAGCAAAACCTGATGTGAAAAATTTCAGATTTGTCTTGCTTCATCAGAGCACTCATCATCTCCCTGCAGTTGAGATTAAGATGCTAGAAAGTTAATTGTGATAATAAGACTGATGAGATGAACAGGAAGCACTCAAGTTTACTTTGATCCAGCAATTTTTATCTATTTTCGAGAATAAAAACAGCTGAATGTGTGATATAAGTGACTGGTAGTTGAGTTCTTTGGGGTCAATAAAAGTATACAACTTGGAGAATGAAAGATGAACCATATAATTAATCTATTTCTATCCACTGAGAACACTGCGCTCTGTAACAAAACACCCTGCGGTTCCAGAGAGAGAAATGTAACTTAATACCATGAATTATGTTTCCTGGTTGACTCTGTTGTGGTCTGAGAGAATGAAAGGTCTCTCTCATTGCGTTGTCACAGAGGGCTGTAATTCCTCACAGCTTCGGGTTTCCAAAGAAACACACCTCAGGATTTCTGTCAGCAAACACAAAAAGACCAAACAAAAGGTTTCACACTGTAGAGGCTGCTGAAGCTGCTGCACCGAGCCACAGCGAACTGAAGCCATTACTGTTGAGCTGCCCAGAGAGTCCCCCAGTATCTATCTACCCATCGATTAGTAATAATAATAATTACATTTAGTGAGTAAATATGAGCACAGAAAAGCAGTAACTATGAAGTTAACGGCACAAATTAGTTTAAAAAAAGACATTTCAATTCCAATACATACATACAGCAAATGCAAATATATACACACACAAAAATGAATCTACATGCACTCGTCTTAGTAAGTTAAAACAACAAAGCAAGAAAGCAGCTGGATACAACTTTAATCTTCAGTTAAGCTATTTATCATTTTTAACATGATCATATTGATTTTGATAAATATTTAAAGCAAAATTTTAATTCCAGACACATTACATTTTTATAGCAACTCAGCCCTTATAGATATATTATTAATGTCTGTGTGTGTTCTACATTTCATAATCTTCATGAAAGATATCCATATCTATATATATCAGATCTATATCTGCTTAAGACGAGAGCAGGAGGTGAAATACTGGGTGTGATGAAACAACCTCGCCCACGACTTCCTGTCGTGTGTGCTGAGAAATCTTTAAAGATGAATGGCAGAGAGGCTCATCCTCAGGCACAGCTGTTAACATGGGCTTTAGCATCAGTGTCACTGTTCCGTACGGTACATTCCCGGACTCTGACTGTCTCGTCGTAAAACAGATCTGCTGCTGACAGAAGTCTAGGCCAAATATGTCACTGAGCTGGTCTGAGGAGTGGCACGCAAACTGCAAGATTCCTTCAGGTGCTCCTGAGTTATTATATCCCAGAGAAAGAGCAAACCACTGTTTGTTGAGCCACCTATACTCGCCTGTCTCCCCCAAACAATCTTCATTTGCACAGAAAAGGTTCAATTACATGCAGATCACTGTTTGTGGTGATGTATCATTATTCCAGATTGACGATAATAGTGGAGGTATGTACTTCAGCACAACACAGAGCAGGCTTTGTCCCAGCACAAGGCGTTTATTATCCCCATTGAGGCAGAGAGGGGAAACGGTGCTCATGAAGGCTCCTTCCTGCTTATCTCAGACAAGGGGAAGGAGCTTCATAATCACCAGGCGTCTGGATGTAAGACTACACTCTCTGAAGTCCCAGCTCAAGATGCTGGACTGATCACATCTGTCTCACCGTTTCTCACTGTCTCCATTTCAGTTTTCACTTTGGGTAAATAAGGTTGTTTTTTTTCTGGCATAAAAGTTAAAAAACACAGCTAAATGAAAGTGATGAAAATATTAGTGACAGCACAAAATAAAAACTTTATTATGCAGCAAGAAATCATCATACAACCCAAACATCAATGGTGAAAACATTAACCTAATAATTGTTATGTGGACTTACCGCATGCTTCATTTTATATCTATCTATATTTTTTAAACAAACTATCTTTTTCCTTCTTTACCTCAACTGTGAAACAATGGGTACATCTAAAAGCACTCAAACAGAGATCATAGTAAACAAGTCCTCAGACATGTATTTAATCCCCACACGTCCTCAATGAATAACTTTTGGTGAATTGCATAGCAATTATATTGCATACATGTAAAATAAATAGAGGGAATTTTGGTTTTCCAGGATCCATTAAATATGAATTTCCACAAGCACAAGAAATGGCCAGTTTGCATTGCTTATAGTCTGCTAAATATATTTGTAATTTTGATGCCGGCTTATGTCCATACATCCACATTGTGGATTAGGATATTGTTGACCAGCTGTGGTCTGCTGTTATAAACACTTAATAGTATGTGTATTTTAATGGTTTTATATGAGTTCATTATTTGTGTACATGTATACTTTAGTTTGCAAACTCACATGCCTCATATTGCACCTTGAGGGGTGAATACAGTAAATTGTAAACTTGAGTGTTCTCTCAGTGACACCAAATCAATGTGTCATCCTCTGAAAATTGCCTATAATCCATTAACTGTAAATGTTTTTTTCTTTTTTTACATCAGAATCACAATCAGAAATACTTTATTAATCCCTGTAGGGAAATTCAAATTTACACTGTATAGTTTATTTTTTATACAGTTTATATGTTTTCATATTTTTTTATTTTCCTTACACTTAAGCATCATTATTCTTACATGTTACTTATTGTTTCTTACTGATGCCTATTTTTGACTCTTGCTGCTGTAATATTTCAAAATTCCCCACTGTGGGCTTTTTTAAATCTTATCTTACCGTAGAGCAAAATTATTCGTTCATTATTAATCTAAAATCTTGATAGAAAATGTATGACATTATATCTTTCTAATTGGCTGACCCTTAGAGATATATCAAAGAAAAACAATGCCAGAACTTCATTGACATAATTAGTACTGTTCCAGTGTTCTATAAGAGTAACTTTAAAATGCGGTCAATAATATAAATGTTGTAATATATTCAGTAATAATGACATCTGCAGAGGTTTCAGACTGTGTGGATTCAACACCTATTGAAAATGTTGTGAAGGAGGAAGCTGAGTTTGCTCTTCGCCTTTGTCCCTCGCGGCTCGCTGTAGTTGTGAGGTTGCCTGGAGACGGCGGAAACGTGTGGCAGCGGCGGCGGTGGCAGCGATGGAGAAGTACGAGAAGATCAAAGTTGTGGGAAGAGGAGCTTTCGGGTAAACTCTCAGTTCATGTACACACCTCAGCTGTTGAGCGTCACAAACACACGTCTGTCTAAAACACGGCGATGTTAGCAGTCAGCTAACAAAGCTAACAAACCAGCAAGGCCTCAGTGTTCCTCCCAACAACGCGTCAGATGTGCAGCGTCTTCTCAAAACACCAGAAACATGACCGAGGTGTATTAAACTGTGCGACTCTACCTGACAAGCATGTGTGTGTGTGCGACTACTGCCTCGTGTACATCATGTACTGATACTCTATGCATGACTCGTCATTGATACCAGATTCTTGGGCTCCAGGTTTTGGAAAATTCGTCTCTTCCTTGAAAGTTTGTTGTTTGTATCTAATTAATCTGTAAAACATCTGTATAAAGACCATTTGACCACTTCTGCTAAAATGCTGCAGAACATCTGGACCAAACTCCATTAGAAAAACTGCTTATTTAACATTTACAGGTACAGTTGACTGACTAGCTTTGACTCATGTCTGAAAGGAAACTATAAACTCCCCAAAGAGCATTAATTAATACTGACACATTAGAAACATTCAGTTCTTACTAATAGTTACCATCTAATTGCATTATTGCTGAGGAGAAAAACACACCCATGCTATTACCAAAACATTTAATTTCACAAAAGAAAACTGAACTGTAACTGTAATGAAAACGCTCTTTAACATTTTTTAACACTGTACGTCTACATTTGATCTATTGTAAGTCAAGAGCAAGTCAAACTCTATGTACAAGTTGTTTAATGGTAAATATCTATACCACGATGAGCCTGCATCTACATTGTAAAAGTTAATCAGCAGTTTTTCAGAACCTGGCTACTTTAAAAGTTCTTCCCATTAGTGGCTCATAACTAATCATTTACACCAGAAGTACATTAAGGAATTAATTGTGCCTTGTCAGAAAGATGTACAAGTTTAAATATATTTTAGTTAGGCGCGTTATAAGCTGCAGTAAACCTTATTATTATAACTGTATTTTGTATGAGTAAGGTATTAATAAAGCACTGAGCAGTTTAGTATAAAGTGGGTCTGGTGGATGAAAATAAGACTGTGGGAAACAAGGGAGAAACAACTGGCTATATGAGAGATCAATCATAACATAAGTTTGTTTGTGAATACACAAAAGGTGTTAATCTATTCAAAGCTGAAAAAAGGAGGACAGTATAACAGTTCTTATGCTATTATAATATTTATTAAACTTGTTTGTCAAACTTGTATCAATACTCTGTCACACTGGCACAAAAGATCTAAACCACAAATCTGCATCTTACTCTTCTTCATTTTCCTCCTGTCAGGATCGTTCACCTGTGCCGCAGGCGCGGCGATGGAGCCTTTGTCATCCTGAAGGAAATCCCAGTGGAGCAGATGTCACGAGACGAACGTCTGGCAGCTCAGAACGAGTGTCAGGTGCTGAAACTGCTTCACCACCCAAATATCATAGAGTACTATGAGAACTTCCTGGAAGACAAGGCCCTCATGATAGCCATGGAGTATGCACCAGGTAAGTTTACTGTAATATCTTCTTACATGACCCCCTTTTGTTCATTGTGCAGCAAATCATGTTTCCCATGGTTTAGTGCTGTAGGGCGTCCATACCATTTTTCATTTTCCCATGTCAGGCCTGGGAAGACTACATGATAACACCTAAAAGTCAGTGTGGAGGTATTTCGAGGGATAATTGCTCAAGTTTCAGGTTTCATTTGAAGGGAAATGCAAGAGAAAATTCTGAAGCAAGACACCAAGACCCAGCATAGACTCCAGCCAAGACACATTAAGGTTGTCTGTTCAGGTTTAAGATCTTAATTTAACCCTAGGTTCTGGACGTGTTTCCACATTATATTTTCTATAAAGACACATATATGAAAATTCATTGGGCTAGATGATTCTCCTGTGGTTTCTCTTCCCCTCTTATGTTGGCTGTTCCCTTTGCCTGTTAAAACAATTGCTTATTGGCTTTGATATCATAATGTTGACCCAGTAGCCCAGTCAGTCTGAGTTAGTTTGCTTTCAATGGACAGATATTTTTTTACAGCTTACAACCGTTTTCAACCGTTTTCTCAATGTTTTCTTCATGCAGGTGGGACTTTGGCTGATTACATACAGAAGCGCTGTAACTCTCTGCTGGACGAGGACACGATCCTTCACTTCTTTGTGCAGATCTTACTCGCCTTGTATCACGTCCACAACAAACTCATCCTGCACAGGGACCTCAAGACGCAGAATATCCTTCTCGACAAGCACCAGATGATCGTCAAAATCGGAGACTTTGGCATCTCCAAAATCCTCGTCAGCAAAAGCAAAGCGTACACGGTGAGCTGATTTCTTTGCTTTGGACATATCCTCATATGTTGAATCCATACACATGCATGATTGATTGTGTCCTTTCTTTTTTCCAATGCAGGTTGTTGGGACCCCATGCTACATCTCTCCAGAACTGTGTGAAGGGAAACCGTATAACCAGAAGAGTGACATCTGGGCTCTGGGCTGCGTGCTGTATGAGCTTGCGAGCCTTAAGAGAGCCTTTGAGGCCGCTGTACTGAAAATCTTTTCTTTACAAAAATCTCTAACCTATGTTGATGTTTCTAACAATACTATGTGTGATAGTAGTTTTTCCTTTATTCACTGTCTGATACATAAAATATCGCTCTGTGCAAAGGCAATGAAACTATGGTAGCAAACATCATCTTCGCTGCCTTCACCAAGAGAGAATGATACTTATAACATCTCAGAATATTCAAAATTAGCCTGAGGAATCTGCTTCACACTGGAGCAACAGGAGGTCTTTATGTTGCTCAATGTTTAAGTGTGAGGCAGATTCCTCAAGCTTTTGATTTTAACACAAATAATAATAATACAATAATTTAATCAACTCTTTTGCTTTAACTCCTGTTCCAAATTCCACAGTCTTATTCCTTGAGGAGGGACTTACGGGGAAGGGTTTGGAGCTTTTTCACATATTTCTAATGAATTTTTAAAACTTACTTGTGCTCTTTCATTTTGCCTTCCAGAATCTACCCGCCCTCGTTCTGAAGATCATGAGCGGCACATTCGCTCCAATTTCAGACAGGTACAGCCCAGAACTGCGACAGCTCATCCTCAACATGCTTAATCTGGATCCATCCAAACGTCCTCAGCTCAATGAAATAATGGCTCTCCCCATATGCATCAGGCCCCTGCTTAATCTATACACAGATATAGGCAACGTCAAAATGCGCAGGTGGGATCCTAATGCAGAGGTGATGAGAATTAGATAGAGATTTTAAGGAGACATGCATTTTAGATATTTTTTGTCATGAGTTCTTTCTTAAAAATCACCTCCTGGATTTTTTCAGGATCGAGAAACCACTGTCAACTGTGCAAACCTGTTCTCAAGGCAGAGCAGGAGGCAGAGTTCCCACCAACAGGTCCAGAGGTAATGCACACAATATCTGACTGTCAGAACTATCTGTACCAAACTGAATGCAGTACTTAAATCACTGTTATTTCCTGGGTTGAAACAGATGGATCATTCGGTTTAGGATCAGGGAAGGTGCACTCCCTCCCCCTGTCCTCGGTGTACACGTGGGGAAGTGGCATCTCAACGCCGCTACGCCTGCCAATGCTCAACACCGAGGTGCTTCAGGTGTCTCTGGGCCGCACTCAGAAAATGGGGGTCACCAAGTCAGGCCGTCTGATCACATGGGAGGTCTGTGTAAAAGACACAAATGTTTTTATACATTTTAACCTTGCTTCAATTTAGTTCATTATTAAGGCAAAAATAGTGTGTTCTTAACCAGTCTAATTTAAAGTAATCCTTGACATCATATAGTCCTGTTCAACATCACTGTAAAGTACAACATTAAACATCAATATATCGTTCAATTAAAACCCATGTGACAGTGCAAATAAAAGCAAAACATTTTCTTCTCTATAGAGGTAGAAGTTATGGTTAAAGCTATCATTCTATATTGCAGACCTATATCCGAGATTAGATTTTGCAGGTGTAAAGTGGCAACTGGTTGTATTTCTACAGCAGCTACAATGCAGTACCTCATCTGTTCAGATGTTAAAAATATCATTGGTAAAAATCTGCTTTTGGTGTCAGCCCCTCAGAGAGCTTCTGTGTAAACTCAAGATCCCATCACAGAGAAAAATCGGTGTTGAAGAAGCAGAAATAGAAACTTCAGTTGCTTCAATAGCTCACGTGCAAACGGTCTAAAACCAAACCAAGCAACATGCCATTTTCCATTTTCTGGATTATATAAAACTGTAGGAAAATTACAGAAATCAGTTACAGATACTGAGATAAATAGGGCAGGTTGGGGAATATTGGTGTCTTCTGATAAAATAACTGCTGGGAGGCAATGAACATCACATCACGTTTTAATCATCCACCAGCGGGTGGATTTTCCCTTGTTGTTTCCCTGGTGAAACATGTTTAGTTTCTGACAGAAAAGGCTAATTATCTGTCTGCACACAAACAACTAATAACCACAATTTGTTGCAGGCTCCGTCAGTGGGATCTGGTGAGGCCAGTCTGCCCGGTGTTGTGGAGCAGATGCAGCCTCAGTTCATCTCTCGCTTCCTCGAGGGTCAGTCTGGAGTCACCATCAAGTCTGTGTCCTGTGGCGATCTCTTTACCACCTGCATGACAGGTTGGTGGGCCGTTAATGTTTGGACAGAAATCAGAGAGATGTGCCTAGAAATGTCAAAGTACAATTATCTTGGGCTCAAACTGTGGTGCCCTGTTAGTGTTTTGTGTGTTTTAGAAAGCTGCTTTCAGTATATCCATCATCACAAAGCAGAAAACACAGGATTAAAGACCTTTCCCCCCCCCAGCTCATTTGCCTCTCATCGCTTTTCAATGTAGTGATGCAGATTAGCATTTCTAAAATAGGGATTAGAGGTATTCTGTTGGTCCACCCATGAATACACCTACACTCATCAACAAATAATTCCTCTAATCCCTTCTCTTTATTTTCAATTTGCAGACAGGGGAATCGTTATGACGTTTGGAAGCGGGAGTAATGGCTGTCTAGGACACGGTAACTTCAATGATGTAACACAGGTACATGTTCACACTGATTCACTCTTACTCAGTTAGCAGTGTATTACTTACACTAAAACTTAACTTTAAAAAATCTTTTATATACAATAAAATGTCTTTTCTCTCTCTGATTTTGTTCTCAGCCCAAGATAGTCGAGGCCCTTCTCGGCTATGAGCTGGTTCAGGTGTCATGTGGCGCTTCCCACGTTCTCGCCGTGACCAATGAAAGAGAAGTATTTGCCTGGGGAAGAGGAGACAATGGTATCGTAAATTAACTGGTTATTTTAGAATCCGCTCTGTCTATCTTTTCAACGTTTGTTTGCATATTTGACTGATATACGACAGCAGCTCATCAGCACACAACATATTGTTGCGTCTCACTCTATCTGGAAGGTCGCCTGGGGCTCGGCACCCAAGACACCCACAACTCTCCACAGCAGGTGTGTTTACCTGTGGAATTTGAGGCCCAGAGGGTTGTGTGTGGAGTCGACTGTTCCATGATTATCAGCACCCAACACAAGATTATGGCATGTGGAAGCAACAGGTAATTATTCTATTGATCATCACAAGTACTGATCATTAGTCTCAGTGAACACTGACCGTGGAGCTCATGATCAGCAGTGAAACATCTACAACATTCAATAAGACAATACCTGTCATCTGCCCCCTGTATGAACTCTTTCTTGTGCCTGTGGGTGGTGGTAGATTAAAGGTGCAGAGAGTTTCCTGGTTCACAACCTGTGAGACAACATTCCCCCAAAATGACAAACGCTCATTAATCCCTCCCTGTCACAGAGACTCAGGACAGGACATCGGTCTATTTGTAAGAAGTCCAAATTCAAAAACTGCAACTCAGCAGCTTCCGGCAGCAAAAAAGAAAACAGGGATAATATTAAAGGGTCTTTTCACAAACATATGTTTATATACATTCAAAACTTTGCGCCAACATTTAACTGCCTCAGCTAAAAAAGATTTTGTTGTTTTGTTGTGGTCAGGTTCAATAAGCTCGGGTTGGATAAGATAACAGCCGGAGACGAACCAAATCCCTCAAGTCAAGTGGAAGAAGTTAATTCGTACACTCCCGTCCAGTCAGCCCCTATCAACTCTGAGAGGATCATTTGCATTGACATTGGAACAGCTCACTCCGTTGCTGTTACAGGTAAGGAAGTTATTAATGTCGTTTATGAAATCATTACTTAAAACACATTTTCAAAGCAGATTCTTTGGCGGTTATACTTTTCTGTGTAATTTCCTCCATGATGGTGCAAAACAGGAGAAGGTCCCAGTTTCATCCAGCACCAGCCAAACTAGTTTTTTAGGTTGTTGCAGCAGCCCATTTTCTTTTACAAACAATGTTTCAGCCCTCTCGTTTGAGACTCACACTTCTCCTCCAGACAGGGGTCAGTGTTTTACCTTTGGCAGTAACCAGCACGGCCAGATGGGCTGCAGCTCCCGTCGTACCAGCCGTGTGCCCTACCTGGTACCCGGCCTGCAGGGTATCGCCATGGCTGCCTGCGGAGACGCTTTCACCTTAGCTATAGGATCTGGTGAGTAGAGTGGACAATGTGTGATTTTTTTTTTTTACCTTCTCTTTCGTTAAGGTCCTGCACACGTCCACAGGTGACCTCTGCTCAGCATGACGATGGACTGCGACATATTTGAGGTCACCAGATCACTTGAACTGATAAGATAAAGGTGTGAAGTGTCAGGTGCAACTATGCTAACAAAAGAGTCTAAGACATCAGTCAAGCACAGTCTTTACACACCCACACGCAGACTTAATGCTGCAGTCAGACCAAAATCCAGCAGATAAAATAGACTTTCATGGTAAGACCAAGAACAAAGAGGAAAGGAAATAGCTGGCTTAGGATTGGCTGCAGTCCACAAAGTTGTAAACCAAGTAGAGTTTTATCAAAATCTGTGTTACTGTCACTGCTGCCAAACTGGTTCAACTGCTCTGCCACTTTGTTTCGCAGTACAGTTATAAAACAGCCATTACAGCACCATACCCATTAGATTTGGATTTAATTACATTGATTAACTGTTTGTTTGGAGTTCTGACATTTACCTAATATTAAGAACCAGGTTCTATCATCATTTATCAGAGCTTTCATCAAAATCAAACTTTCCCATTTGGAATTATGATTTGGAATTTGACACGAGCACCATATAAAAGTCTCACACTACAAATTACATGAACTACAGAGTTAGAGGAGAAGTCAGGTTAAATCACCCGGATGGACATTCCAGATGTGTGGAGGCTCTTAAACTCTTGTGTTTTGTTGTCACTGCTTGCTGAGTTATATGAAAACTGAAATTTTAACTTAAAAGCATATCATACATATAGAGATATAATGTCTGATAGATAAACCTAAAGGAAAAACATGTTCTAAAAGCAGATGACAAGACTTTGATGACTTTGCATTAAAAGTTGATAGTTGCTGTTATGCAGCTGACTTTTGATGATAGTTTTCAAACCATAAAATAAAACAAAAGAAACATTTTCAGTATTTTCAGTCAGTGTTAATCCCTCAGTCAAAAAGAGTTGTTTGGAGCCGTGTGTAAACACATCATCTCTGCTCTGAGTGGAGACAACATTTCTCAGATATCTGTGGTTTTAGATCCTTGGGATGAAAACAGCATTTACAGCATTTTATGTGACCACACGACAGGAATCTAACTTAAAAACATAGTCACTGTGATGGAAAACCTCTGCACGTTTATTTTCATGTCAGACAGATTTGATAGATTAAAACTAATGGTTAGGTGAAAGATGTTTTGTTGGAAAATGGTTAGCAGTCATGTAAACTATACAGTGGTTTCAGCTAATGGCCCAAAAATACAAAACTGTTGGTACGGTCCCCTAAACATGTGGGTTAACAACGTGTGTGTGTGTCTGTGTGTGTGTGCGCACATGCATGTATGTGTGCACTCGTGCGTCTCTAAATGTGTGTTCTGTTCTTAAAGCTTGGGGCGACATAGTAAAAATGACGTATTGTGCCAGTTCTCGGTTCCCTGGGGAGAAATCCGGCGGTGCCAGCCATGGCTGTCGGTTCTCTTTGTTATTGAAAGGCTTTGTTCAGCTTTCTACAGATTGAGCCATTATGCTGCCACTGCAGGAGAGACAGAGTCATCAGTTAAAGATTTGTGTGGATTAATGTGAAGAAACAGCAAACAGCTCCTTGTTCCCCTGATTTTTTTTCTTTTTTTCACAGAAGGGGAGGTGTACACCTGGGGAAAGGGGGCCCGTGGCCGCCTAGGCAGAAAAGAGGAGGATTCTGGGATACCGAAGGCGGTGCAGCTTGACGAAAGTCACCCGTTCATGGTGACATCAGTGGCTTGTTGTCATGGCAACACTCTGCTGGCAGTGAAACGTAATATTTTGCTTATTACTCTTTGTTAACAAACACTGGGACGTGTCGGGATGTGGTGAAATCTGACAGGGAGAATATTAATCCTCTCAGAAATGTTCTTCTGAACTGTGAATTTTAGTGAAACTAAAAACATGATGACAGCTCTTTTTCACAGTCTTTACATCTGAAAGCATATATACATAAGCCATAATGAAACTTGTTTGGTCTAGTTTAGCATCGATGATATTGATTTTAGACTGAGCTGAATCATTTGGCCACGTACCTCTTGCGATGGACGCCAGAGTCTGTGCAAAAGCCAGAGATCCTGACGTGAACTGAAAAGCAGTGAAGGTGGGATTAAATCATGACTCTATAGTCCAAATTGAAAAAAGCTGCAGATTTAGGGAAGATTAAACTGCAGCACAATTTAATAAGAAACAGAGATGTTGGTAATCCTTGCTGCAGGCTACAGGGTGGCTCTTTGAATGCTTCCTGTGACTTCAACCATGAGACAATGGAGACCTGTACCAACTAACACTGAAGATGCACTAATGGAAGTCTTTCAAAGGGTCTAATTGATAACTGGCTGTTAATGCTATCAGTAATGGAACAGTTCATTTTCATCTATTTAAATCAGTTACATCCACACTCAACTGAATGTGTTACATCAAGGAGAACGAAGACATAAAACTCAGAATGTCAAATCCATAGAGACATTAAGAAAATGACACAACTTTAGTTATTAAAAATACATTTGAAGAAATATATCTAAGGCCTTAAAACTTGGGTCTTGTCAATATCCGTTCATTCCTATTTATCCAATCACAAAACTCATGCATGATGATGAACACTGACAAATAATGATCAAAATAGGTGCGAATCAACGGTTTTGTGTCAATCAACCAGTAGATTAATTGCTGCCTCTTGTTACAGCTTTGCTCGAGGATCCTGTCCCGAGATGATTTTGTCCCGAAAAAGAACCCACTCAGCGGCCATCCCGAAGCCCGGTGGTGGTGTGAGAGGGCGACTTCCTCCTCTTGGAGGCCCAGCTGCGGTTCCGTTGAAAGATGGCTTTTCACACTGCAGCTGTGGCCTCAGGTTTTCACTTGGTCTTTCTCCTCTATATCTATGCTTTCTTCAGGGATGAGTGTTTGTGCCTCATTCTGTGTCTCCCATGGAGCAAAGGTCACAACCTGACTGTATCACACAAACAGGTTGGATAAAGAGAGGTTGTAACCCTGTGACTGAAGCTGGACTGCAGGAAGTCATTAGGCCGCCTTCATGTGGTGAACTATTGTCTTCTCTCACGTGCAGCGTGAGGATGATAAAACATGAAACTGCAGTAAACAGGTTTGAGCTCTCTTAAGTAACTGGTGAATGTGATGACACAAAGCACAGAGAAGAAAAGAAAGAAGCCACTTGAGAGTTCATCAGTCAAATGAACGCATTCATCTGCATCAAGTCCTCAGTGGTCACATTGTGCTTTATTGGATTAACCCTCACATGCATTTGTAACCCAGTGTTCGGACCAGATAACGACCTGTTGTTCAGGGTTACACAGTAAATAGATTTCATGGAGTTAAAGAGACTGACCCCACTCCCTCGACCACTCACTCACTTCTCCCTTATTCTATAGTTTAAAGTAAAATCAGATATCAGACATTGTGAATATCTACATTTCAGGGGATTATGTCTGGACACACACAGAATATGATGAACAGTTGATATAGTGCAATATACACTAAATAGGGAATGATATTTTAAATGAGATATATGATTTTGTAATGTATTTTTATTTCTAATCTAAATCTGCCATTTTAAGCTGCCAAATAAATACAGTGTATTAAAATTACAATATTTACCTCTGAAATATAGTAGAGTGAAAGTATTCAATACCAAATAATGAAAATACTCAAATTAAGTGCAAATACCTCAAGATCGTATGTAGTTAGAGTATTTACCACCATTGGTGCCTTGGAGTGAAATCTTTGTAGCAAGTTAAGCAGTTTTCTAGTGTAGAAAAGAAAAACTGATCTTCTCTGGTTAATTGGAAAATCTTATTTTTTTACAGTACAAAGAGGAAACCCCTGTGGTAATTCTGGTTCTTGTAATATGTTTGTTTATTAGAGTATGTTACATTAAAGGATGGTTTCACTGTGGATGAGCCTTAAATTATTGACGCTGAGGTTTTCAGAAATAGAGAAATGATTACACCTTTCTTATTATTTTCAGACCAAAACATGCTGAAATAAATATTGAGGTACAAGTGGATAGGAAATGTCTTTATCTAAACGGAGAGGTTTGATCTTTAAATAAAACATCATCACTTTAAAATCATAAGATAAAAATCAACATCAAACCAAATATAAACCACAGTTTCTCAGTGAGTCTGAATATACCTTTGATTTACACTGCCCCCACAGTCTTACATTAATCACCTGAGTCATTATGTATGTTCCTTTATAATTTCATAACAGATTAATGAACAGATGCTGCGACTGTTGTAATTATTGTAATATATTCAGTTAATATGTATTGAATTAATGTACATTTGAATCTATATATTTATAACGATTCTTATATAATTTTTTGAACTGTAATCACACTTTTAATTTAAGATGCATTCAAATCTTTTATGAAGACATGGGCCATTTACTGTTGTCTTGTGTGATGATGTAATGATGATGTAATCTGGTAGCAACACAGCACGTGAAAGCTGATCCGGTTGGGTGGATATGATCTTTATTCCCAGTGTTTAAAAGGATTTATAATCTGTATTGTAACTCAAGTCGAGCATTTATTTTAAATACATATATTTTCACTGGTCACATCATAGAATAATAATAAAATTACGAGAAAATACAAAATTGCTTAATTGTATGTGATTGCTTCACCACCAGGGGGCGTCTGTCACCTCTCACTCCACTGTGTGCCACTGTGGAGGTTAATTAGACGTTTTTTTTTAACAATTTAATCTTCACAACCAAATCCTCACTATCTAATTTCGTCAATTAAGACCGTGCAGCTTGAATATCTCTGAAGTAAAAAGCAGCATGTGCGTCTTGATGATGGTAAACATGGGTTTACTGCACAAATAAACAATCAACATGGAGCATGGGCATGAAGTAAACACACATCTCATGAGAGGATTCTGCAGCCAGACAAAAGCTCAATTAAAGATGCATTCAGGGACATGAGGGGGAGAAAATGGTGAGAGCAGCTTCTTGACTCCTCCTGCCTGGAGGAGGAGGAGGAGGAGGGGGCGGGACTCTGCTGCACCTAAACAGACGGAGGGGTGAGGGCATTGTGTTCACTGTGTCAGTGCTGCATCCACCCAGGAGGAGCGAGGAGGACAGGGCCACACCGCAGCTCTGACAGCCACAACAAACCCACACAGGACGAATCCGTCTGCAGCGGCAGCGCGCTCCTGGAGACCGGTGCTTCCTGCGCTCTGCGGCCGTCAGGAGGAGACGCTGCGGGGGGAAGGACTCGCCCGATCCGTCGGTGGCGGAGGGGACGTGATATGCACGAACCTCTCGTCGGTGTAAACCGGCACCGCAGCTGAATATCCCCCCTGTTTTTCTTCTTTTTTCCCTGGAGGGAGGGAGTCAGGGTCCAGGGGCGTTTATCCACCACCTGCAGAGAAATCCGCCGAGAGACGCTGCAGCCATGCCCGGGTTTGATTACAAGTTTCTGGAGAAGCCAAAGAGACGCTTCCAGTGTCCGCTCTGCAGCAAGGCGATGCGGGAGCCGGTCCAAGTGTCTACCTGTGGACATCGCTTCTGTGACACCTGTCTGCAAGAATTCCTCAGGTACACAACAGTGTGTGTGTGTGTGTGTGTGTGTGCGCGTGTGTCAGATCCACCTCCGATACCTGCAGCTTGTCTAGTTTCGGTCGAGCCATGCACAGTAAATAAAGGATGTGTAGGTGTGTCCTCCTCACCTTTCCTCTTCAGGGGTTTTACGCTATTTTCTAGTCTTCGTGTGCAGCTGATAATAACACAATGCGATGTGAGGCCTTGGCTGCTGAGCAGAGCCTGGTGTCAACCCCCCATCCTGTAGTTTCAGGTGTGTTTGCTCTGCGCTCAAAAACAAATGTGAGCAGCTGCTCTCTGGAGCAGCCATGCAGGGACTTTTTGTGGACAGGTAGAGGACATGGCTGTTGTTGCATTAGTCAAATGGTGGAAATTAACCTTTACTGTCTTTTATTTCAAGAGTATATTTCATGCTGTGGTGCTAGTGTCCTGCAGAGGGCCCCTGCCTCCTCATCCTGTCTGTGCTTTGGCCCCAGGGTGGCTGAGTTTGCATGGGTCGTTGTGGGTTAGGGTGTGTGTGTGTGTGTGTGTGTGTGTGTGTGTGTGTGTGTGTGTGTGTGTGTGTGTGTGTGTGTTTTAAGGGGAACTTTAACTTTGAGGTCAGACCCCGACCTCACCTCCTAATGTGCTGGACATTGACGCCTGTGTTAAGACTTATAGAAAGGAAGTCTTTGTTTTTTAGCTTTGATGGCGATACTGTCACAGAAGAGTCACTTATTATTATGAAGTGAAAGTCAAATCATTCAATTTATTGAATGTCACTTTTGATCTGACTGGTCTGCCATCTTGTACTGTCAAAATCGACCTTTACTGTTTTAGTTCATACTGAGTTCAAACAAAGAAAACACCAACAACCTGAAAACACATTGAGTCTAATGTCTCTGGAAACTGTTCAGTGGAGGGCAGTAGGGGCCCAACAACCAACTTTTGCCCCAAGGCCCCCTTAGAAGGTTAATGTGGCCATGGCCCGAGTAAATAACTCCATGTGTCTGTTGATTTCTCGCTTTATGTGGTAATTAATTAGAGTAATGGGACACATGTGTTCAAGGGGATGTAATGTCAACTTTGTTTCTATCAATATTTTGTTGTTGAAGAGCAATGGCTCCAAATATTGTTTCAAAACCAAACTAGGAACATGAATTATAGTTATATCAGAATAGTATTTGCCTCTGAATCTTTTGTTTCTAAAATCTAAGGTCGTAGAACTGTTATTGTTCAACTTAATTCAGTAGATAAAAAAAAAAAATCTTTAAGATAGTGAGAAAGTGAGTTCTGAAAGATGTTTGCTCACCTTTAAGTGGAGAAGCTGAAAACAGGTTTCATCTTCAAAGCCTTAAAGCTCTTGTATACAAGTCAAATGTGACATTTTAATTTAAATTCAGTTTTATTATGAATAAAGAAACGCTGTGGTTTGTTGGTTTGCTGTATATCTGCTGCTCTGTCTGCAGTTATTTGGAGTTTTGTCTCAGTTACAAGTTTTCTACTGCTATTTAACTGTAAAAAGATCTTAAAACCTCTTCAGTACTTGATGAAACTAGAAGACGCCCTGAGGGAAACTCCCAGATAAATAAAACAACACTTGCCATCAGGAAAACAGAATATCTAATCTAATCAGACAATATTTTCATGTCAACGTTTCATGCTCTCAACCGTCTTGAGTCAGAGAAAGAGAAAGAGACAAGTGAGGGGGTGGAGATATGGATTAACGCTGTGAATACATAAACCACGTTGTCGTGAGTTCCTGATGTGTGTACGTTGAGTCATCAGGAAGCCTCCTCTGGCTTATTAAAGCAGCAGCCAGTTGCATCTGGCTGGAAAGAACAAACTCAGATGAACATAAAGAGCGAGGGAGGAACAGCGTTCGATGCCGATCAGCGAGTTTAACGGTTTGACGTTTGTCTGCCTCATCCTGCCCACCTCCGAGTTCGTCCTCCAGTTTATGCTCCTTTGTTTCATCACTCCCACTGATTCACTGACGTTAACTAAAGTTTCCAAACTCATGAACGATTTTTGGCTGAGTGACTATGTACTCCTCTATAGTCAGGATGCCGATGATTCCTCCCTGTTTGGCCTGCATGACCGTTTTTATCTTAATATAAGTACCACTTTATAGTAAGTTAAGTTGTAACTTATGGCTAAATTCATGGTTGATCATTTTATCTGTAAGAACTTAGTAAGAAAATTTGGGTTTCCAGGTTGTGACATTTTAGTCTGACTGGTTTATTTACACGTCTAAAGTATGAGTATGAGAATATTAACATCATAACATCATTGTTCACACATACTGTACATTTGTAATCTCTTGAAATGTCCCTATGTCTGCATAAAACTACATTTTAATATGTGTGCTATCCATTAATGTGCTGCTTATAGATGCTAAATGAAGGAGGAGTGTTAACAGTTGGGTAATAGTTGAATTCAGTGATGACTAAGTTTCTTTAGAAATAATTATGAACAGTCAGGCAGTGTAGTAACATTCCTCCATGGCTTGTTGCAACAGAGCAGAGCGATCTGCAGCGGGTGACAAGTGTGAAAGTGGCCAGACTTAGCTGGCAAGCCCGGGCTGGATGTTTCACAGCCTTCAATTATTACGGCAAAAAGATCAACCTAGTTGCACAAAGGGCAAAGCATTAGCTAACGACTGTCTGTCAGCCTCAATAAACTTGAACTCCCCTCACGGACAAAAAAAATGAACGCGCTCGATGGCCAAGAGGGCTGAAAGTGGCCTGGGCTGGCACACTTTGTTAATTAAAGAGGTGACGATGCAGCCTGTCCGCTCGGCTGCAGCCTCGTCTCAGCACAGCTGAAGGTGGAGGAGCCGCTGAAATATCCTGCGCTTCATTTAAATGTTTAGTTCAACTTTATTCTACCTGAGAAGTAAAGCAGGACATCTTGGTTAAAGCAAAAATGAAAACAAGTTCATGTCTCAGCACTGAGATGTAACAACAACAACAACAGAATATCTTAAACATCTTTTAACAACTCAGTGGTACTATAACTGTTAACTGCCTTTTTTGAAAAAGGCTTCATTCTGTAATTTCCCTGAGAGGAACACGAGGAAATGCACGAATTGTTCTCACTTCTCTGTGTCCGAGCGCTGAAACGTGCTGGTCTGGGCCTCTGTGTCCACAGGCATGTTAGCATGTGATGCTAATGGGCTGCATTTTGGCCCTCGGGGACGAATGCCTAAATTGTCTGCAGCCGCAGCCACAGCAGTCCTGGAGGCTGCCCCCGCTCTGCAGGAGAACTGTGGACCAAAGGCAGCGCCGCCCCGCAGCTTCCACACTCAACACAATCAAATATGAGTCACGTGCTTCAACAATACAGGCCATGTTTTAACTGCAGTGCCTCTTTAAAAAGAGGAGAACAACATTTATGGTATGGAACACAGTTTCCTCCACTGTGTGAGGGCTAAGTAGAGCTTACAGTCGTGCCACACATGCCCGGCCTCTTGGCTCATCAGTCCTGGGTCCACTGAGCCACAGTAATGCCATGCAATGTGACAGTGGCTTCTCTGTGCATGATGCAGCGCTGTGCCACGGCCCTGACAGGGGTGTAATTGGTTTGTTCAGCTCGGGAGCTTCTTCCTACAGGCCTCCACGTCGCATATAGAGCGAGAGATGACTTCCCCGGAGTCACGAGGAGCCCCAAAGTGGCCTAATACAAGAAGTTTTCCCAGCTCGATTATTCACTGTCCAAAAGCCAGGGGAGGGTGGTGTTTTTTGGAATGGGCTGTGATTCATTTTAACTTTGACACATCTTCTGCATGTAGCGTAGTTTTTTTACTTTCTCTCCTCTGATGTAGGTGATACTAGCTTTTTTCTTGCAGCGCTCTCCCACGCATCTATCATCTGAATACTCTGGTGCACAGTCGCCAGCGTTATGAGTACACCAGCCAAACACCTCTTCCTCTTGTTCCACCAGGAACTGTCTGTTTTATTGGAAGATGTGGGTTTAGTTTAGTGGAAGAAAAATCGATTGTTCTTTCTGCATAGTCAACGTTTATGGGTTTATACTGTGTACGAATAGATTGAT